AGAGGGTAGCCTACCTCTGTGGGTTGTTGTTTAATGTATTGTAAAAGTATAGGATTCCCTCTCATTCCTGGACAGGCTTGAGGGGCAGAATCCTATACACATGTGGCCGGCATGACTAAACACCAAGGCACACGGAATGCTGTTACCTTCCCACCGAAGTGGTACCTATTTATCTACTTGCAATTTCTTGCTTTTGAACTGCTAGGTTGGTAGGAGCTGGAACTAGAGACGGGAGCTCACTCCATCATGTGGCACACTCGGGTCTCGAACTGCTGAACTACCGACCTTCCACAGCCTGCAGTTCAGCATCTTAACCACTTGAGCCACCGCAGCAGGACTATCTTGCAATTTGGATGTTATGGCCCTGCATTTGCTTTGAAAAGCAGTAGAAAAGAGCCAGTTTGGTGTAGTGGTTAAGCGTGTGGACTCTAATCTGGGAGAACCGGGTTTGATTCTCCACTCCCCCACTTGCACCTGCTGATGTGACCTTGGGTTAGTCACAAGCTCTAGCACAGCTGTTCCTGAAAGAGCAGTTTGTCTCAGAGTTCTCTCAGCCCCACCTACCTCACAGGGTGTCTGTTGTGGGGAGGGGAAGGGGAAGGAGTTTGTAAGCTGCTCTGAGACTCCTTTGAGTAGTGAAGGGCGGGGTATAAATCCAATCTCTTCTCTTCTTCTTGATACATCCCAAGATCACATTAGCCTTTTTTGCTGCAGCATCACACTGGCTGCTCATATTTAACGTATGGTCCACCTGCACCACAAGATCTTGTTTACACACACTGCTACACAGAAGTGTATCCCCCCATCCAGTATGCGTGTTCCTCATGTTTGTTGCTCAGATGTAGAACTGGCTGTTTATCCTTGTTAAATTGCATCTTGTTCACATCCGCCCACTTTTCCAGTGTGTTCAGATTTCATTGAGTTCTATCTTTATCTTCTGGTGTGTTTGCTGCTATTGACCCAGGTAGCTGGAGACTCTTTTTTTTGCTGTCATGACAGCTGACTTATGGTGACCTCATAGGGTTTTCAAGGCAAGAGATGTTCAGAGCTGGTTTGCCATTGCCTCCCTCTGCATCACGATCCTGGTATTCCTTGGAGGAATCCCATCGAATACTTGGCTTCTGAGATATGATGAGACCAGGATAGCCTCGGCTATCCAGGCTAGGGTGGCTAGAGACTTACAAGGGCAAAATTGCAACCCTTGAGTTCAAAACCCAGTGTACTTTCAACCACCTTCCCTATATCTACCTAATCCTCAATTGTACATACCATAACAGAGAGAGACAGTGTAATACAGACTTGGTGGCAGGAATGGGGAGAGCGAGTGTAATTTTTAAAGCAGACAAAACTGGGTCTAAGATCTCCCTCTCAAAAGCACAGTATGAGGGGGAAATGAAATGGGAAAAATGGCAACTCAAGCAGAGAGCTGCTCTAAACTGAAACAGAAGGGCAACATCACACTTCAAGCTGTTGAAGTGCTGCGTATTTAGGGACTAGCAAAATGTCAGTTATATTAAGGAAACATGTAAGTGGAAGGAGGGCTTGTATATGCAAAAACAGAGGGATAAGAAACACTGTGCATCTCTATTTCATTTCATGCACAGACACATTACACGTCTCTGCAAGAATTTAGGGCACTTGTAGCACACGTGTCTCCCAAACCAGAATCAAGGCAGGTTTCTCTACAGACAGCTGGGTCACCTAGTGCCAAGGATTGCCCTAACCACAACAGCATTCCCCAAGTACACTACTTTACTTCTCACACCAAGAATGAATAGCAGCCACTAAATCTATGGTGGGAGAGTGAAAGGGTTCTGTTGGGCATGGTATTGGGGAAGAAACTGAAGTTGCTTCCTTCCCTTACTAAGCCCAGCCACTGAAGAATCAAGCCTGCCCCTACTCGCATAGACCCATAATGGGCTATATTTCTTGGTCATGCTACAGTGGGACAGACTGGGAACTGGCTGACAGAAAAATTGCTGTCAGAATCATCTCTGGGTCCTAATCCTTTGTACGTAGAGCCATAGCACACACACCAGGTTTTCTTTTTTCCCTTTCTGCATATTACTTGTTGCATCAGATATACTATCAATAGCAGGCTTAAATTCAGAGCAAGGTGCTACTCCAAGTTGTCCATACGAACTTTCTTGGCTGGTAGCAGAGAACATCCCACCCACCCTGAACTATGGCAGGACCCTACCTGTGGAAGCCATTAGCCACTACCAACAAATAAAAGTCTTCTTCTGTGATGTAGTCAGTTCCTATGTGGTCATTTGTGCAAACAGATGCCTTACCCCATGAAAGAATGTGTAGGCTGAATATGACACCAGGCATCTATTTGGTCAGGGGGTAAAGTCCAGTAGAGCAGTTATTGCCTGGCTTCAGTATATATCAAATAGCAACAGAATGCAGACAGACTCTTAAATCAACAGAGGTGGGGTGGGAAATATACCTCACTTTCCAAGTCACCCTCTCTTACTCAGAGGGGCGGATCTACATCATCCCTAGCAGGATGTGACGGCTTCTGTTTTAGAACTACAAGAATTTCAGAAAGCCCATTTTAGAAAACTCTGAATAGTTACAGAATCTTCACTCATAAGCCAGGCTTAAACCACCAGCAAAGCTACAGTCTTTAGTAAAATTAAACCATAAACAAGATAAAATGTTGGTTACATGTTACCGGTATGTGAATTACTAGCTGATTATCAAATAAATGCCATTTTTATTTGCTATGCACAACTCTGTTGGGCATCTATGAAAATGAAAACTTATTGAATAATACCTCCAGTGGTTAGGTACTATCCTAGTTGCAAAATGAGTGCAATTGTCAGAAGACAATTGGTAGTAAAAGGATACAGGCTCAGTCCTTGAGGTGGCAGAAACAGCTGCAAGACTGAAATTCCAGCCATTAATACCTGCGGTAGCCGATGTTATCTTAATTTTATCTCCATAATCATGAAAACTAGGAAACTTCTACCTTTTATTAGAAAAGCTAGAATTCTGAAAGTTAGCACTCCCTGTGAACACTTCAGTTGAAGACAATTTTGCCATAGTCACTTCTATGCAGTTAATACCAGGACAGCTGAACTGATGTGCCAGTGACCACAAAAGAAAAGCTTGCTCACACCTTCAAGCATAGTGAGTAGTTATATCCCAGCAGCTGTTAAAATTTCAGGAAATATTTCCAGGAAAAACCAGATGTTCCTTTGGCCAAGTACAGCAATAACACTGTTTGATAAACCTCCTTTGTCCAAGGCATTCCACCCCACTTAAAATTATGCCGTCTCTTTGTTAGAATCCTTAATGTACTTTGCTAGCAGAATTGTGGATATGAGAAGCCAGAAGTCTAGGGCAGTTCTTGACTATACAGCACTAAACAAAAATGGGAGAAATGGTTCCTGTATACAGAGTCATGGTACATTTATACAGCAACCACTAGAAGGGAAGAGTGATATCTTGTATGTCAATGTTACATGAAAGCCACCTGACGGTCATGGTTTCAGAAGCTGATGCTCAAAAGCAGCCCAAACCCTAGACCACAACCACCTCCTCAGCCTAGTGGCAACCCTGATCGTTGTCTAGAGTGAGTCAACTGATCATAAAAGGGCAAATCCTAGCAAAGGGATTCCTTTCCAAGCCTGCCTACAGGGCAATGAGTCTTCATTTCGGGCCAGAGAAATTGTTTTGCGGACAGATATGCCCTGCAATCTGGAGGGCAACAGTTCCATTCTCTACTAGGTCCGGTCATTTTGGAACCTTAGTCAGGCAGCAGAATTAAACTGTTTCCAGATCGCTAATTAGAAGACTAATTAGTGGTAGAAAAGATTCACTAGAAGCATATCCATCATTAGTGATCTTCCAGTGGCAGGAGATGGTTGGATACATTCTAGGGCAGCTTACCACTAGGCAGCAATAATGTCCCATCAACCTGGTCACATGAATTTATTGTGCACCCTAAAACATGCCCCAGGATTCAGTATAATATGAGTTCTACTGCAGACAAGTCAAGGTGAAAACAGGTTGCTTGAAAGCTGCTGATCAAGTCATATTCCTGTGCATTGCACCCTAACATTTTTAGCCTTGCTGGAAGTAAGTTAGGACAGACAATGGCAGCTGCTAAAGAAGCCATCCACTGAAATTGCCCTAACTGCCACCAATAAACAGGGATACAGCAAATAAAAGAGAGATTAGACCTGGCAACACAAGTGCGTGCACCCCCCCCCCCACACACACACACATGAATGGACATATGAAGCTAACCGGCACACTAGATAGGGCTGCCCGGGAAGCCAGAAATGGCCATCAACTTTCACATACTAAATCTGTGTCTTCACCATATCCTTCTCCCATTCTCATGTCACAGGAAGGCACAAAGGTCCTTGGAAGATAGGAATGCTGCGGCATGGGCAAATCCCCCCCCCCAATTTAAGCAACCAGATTGAACCACCAGTAGTGGAATCCATCTCAGGTTTCGAGATTCCCTGCCTCCCTTGCATATTGCCTTAGAGTCAATGCATAGCATTGCCAACTAACAGCTGGGCAGACTCAGCCCAAGATGACCAGATTTATACTCAAGAAGTCTAGTTTTCAGCTCTAATCAAGGAGGTTCACTATAGCAGAGTTTGAGAAACTGCTCTGCAGGCTCAGATCAAGAAGGTAACAAAGGGGTTGGATACGAACACACAAAACTACCCTATACAGAATCATATTACTGGCAGTGCTTCTGCAAAGCCTCAAGCAGATATCCTTACTAGTTCCACACCTCAAGAATTATTTCACTGGAAAAGCCAAGAATTGAACTTGGGGACTTCTACATGCAAAGCATGCACACACACACACACTGACTGAATGATGGCCTCTGTAAACATTTTTGGACATAAGCCAGGTTTCTTAAAGGTGGAGGTGTTAGTTGGAAATCCAAGGTTCATCTTGGCCTGGTATCTGTAAGCCTCTTTCTTCTGCATTCCCCATGCCTGGGAAAGTCCAAGAATGAAAATGACAAATACGAAACCCCCTTGAACAGGCTGTTAATCTGCATTATATTTTTCATTAATAAATAAGGTTTCCTTTTAATAACACTGAACATTTAACAGATTTTCCCTCCTCTTCCCTCCCCCATATTTCTTCCACACACAAAGAGACAATGTCTATAAAACAGTCACTCCCTTCTCCCACCCACCCCCCTGTCATCTCCTGGGGGAGACAAAGAGGACACACAGACGCCTCCACTCTAGAGGAGATGAAAGGGAGGGCACCTGAAGGGAGGGGGAGGGACAGGTATCTGCAATCAGCCTGCTTCAGACAGGCAAATGAGACAAGAAGCAGATGGAGAAGGGGACTAGGGCCAATGGGAGATTATTAACTGTGCGTCGGAAGAGGGGAGGAATACTTTTGAAACCCTCAGACTCGTGGAACAGCCACAGGAGCCATTACTGTCCAAGATGGTGCAACGCCAGCCCTCAAGGGCCTTCACGAGCAGGTCGTGCCTTGGGCCAGCCTCCGCCCTCACTGTCCAGCCAAACTCTGATTTCCCCCTCGTGTCTATCTGGAAGCGCACATTGCAGCTGCATGGTGGGGAAGCGTTTGCAATGTGGAAAGGATGGACAGGCCTGCTGAAGTTGGAGTGGTGGTGGTGGTGGGATGGGGAATTTGATCTTTCTGGATTCTCCAGGCCTGGCCCACGGGAGCCAGGCAGCCCCCCTCCCTGCCCCCAGAAGGGCCAACCGGAAGGGCCCAAAGTCCACAGCTGTTCTACCACCACCACTACCCTCTGTTCCCAGAAGCGGATCAGCCCTTCACATGACAGAGCAGCTTTTTGCTTTCTCTTTTTTGAAAGTGGAAGAGATGAGCTCAGATCGGCTGGGCAAGCGGAGGAGTCTCTTGGGAAAGCTTCGGGCTGGGCTCTTGGGAGGCTGGGGGCCAGCCTTGCTGAGGCAGATAGATGCCGCTGTCCGGAAGATGCTGTGCACGCTCTTCTCTGACGTGAATGCTGAACACTCCAGATAGGTCTCTGCTCCAAGCTGCTTGGCCACAGCACAGCCCTGCAAAGAGAGAGCAGAGGACATAAGAACCAGCCAGCAGCCCTACAGGAAAGGCGTCGGAACCAGGGGGGAAAACACAACATGACACAGAAGACTGCTCTCAGCACACCGGAGTGTGTCTCATGGCACTAGCATTTGGGTAGCAATTATTGTGCCTACACAGAGCAGTATTTGCATGGTACCTTCACTAGGCAAGTCACCCCTACTGTGCCTAGACTTTATTATGCTAAATGCTCCCATGAAGCAGTCCAATGTCCCACACTTATGCAGTCTGGGAAACAACAAATCTCTTGCTTTTTATCTGGGCCCTTTGAGAATTCACTGGAATTCAGAATGGGGAATGTTAGGGTTGCCAACCTTCAGGTGGTGGCTGGAGATCTCCTGCTGTTATAACTGATCTCCAGGTAACAGAGATCAGTTCACCTGGAGAAAATGGCAGCTCTGGAAGGTGGACGTGATGGCATTATACATCAGTGAAGTCCCTCCCCTACTCAACCCCCCCTCCCCGGATCCACCCCAAAATCTCCAGGTGTTTCCCAACCCGGAGCTGACAACCCTAGGGAACGTGGCTGTTTTGAGAGAACAGCAGCAGCAGTGCCACCCCTCTATTGCTAAGGCAGTTCAATTTAGAACACTGGAGCTAATGTGAACCTAGTCTATAATGTGAACCTCTAGGCACTTGCATTTACTTGTGATCCTCTTTTAATATTGGCAAAAAGTGTCCTTTAATGATTGGGGATGTGGGATTTGTATTATTATTGTGTGTAGTATAGCTAGGAGATCCTAAGATTGTCTGGCAGCCACAAGTTCTAGCTCTTTTAGCGTTATACAACACTTAGTGGCAAGCTAGACTTGTTTTTTAAGGCAAGAGATGTTTCAGAGGTGGTTTGCCATTGCCTGCCTCTGTGTCATGACCCTGGTATTCCTTGAAGGTCACCCTTCCAAATACTAGCCAAGGCTGACCCTGCTTAGCTTCTGAGATTTGTGTGGTTCAGTTCAAAGTCCTCCTCCCCCACACCATCTTTTCCAATCGGGTTTCTCCCACCCCTCTGGGACTTCCCATGGTACTTGTTGAACAATAAAATGCCATATAGGAAATGCAAGAATTTCCATAGTAGAAATTTGCAGATGAACTGCATTTTGGATGCACCTATGAAATATGTACAGGTTACATGCGTGTTGCAAGTACCAGGATACTGTCATGCATGGAATGCCTCGACTATACATATATTAGAGGTGCATGTGTGCCAAGAGCCATAGCCAACCCAGTTCTGGCACACTACATCTTTGAAGTGAAGTGAGGCTACAAATGGGTATAAACCCACTGGATTTCAAGCTTTTAAAATTTGCAACTCAGCCATAAGCAAGTAGTATTATTCTACTCACTGTATGATTCCCGTAACAATATCTATGGTTTTAAAGAGACATCCTGGGACAAAATACTTTTTTTTAAAAAAAGAGGATTGTTCAAAATACCTTTTTGTGTTTCACATACCATGTGATTTAGTGTGTAAGGAGTTTCTTACAGACTTATACCATAGGAATGGTTTCCCCAAAGAATTCTTGCATCTGGAACATGTGGGGAATTTGAATTTAATAAAACTTGCTACCATAATCAAAGCGCAAGTAGGCCAACACAGAGCACCACTTGACCACACAAAAACGAAGACGACTGTGCTTCCAGGGAAAAGGCTTCATCCCGAGTGACAGATCTGCATCAGCACAATGAGTTGCTTACCTGTTCATAAGAGATGGGAGCTTGCTTTTGATGGGACAACTCCATCAAGGTGCTGAGGTCAGTACGAAGGTCTGTCTTGCAGCCAATCAGCAACACACGGGTGCTTGGGCAGTAGTCCAAAATTTCTGTCTTCCACTGGAAAGGGAGAAACATCTTGGAGGTGACTTGAGCCCCAAATATTCCAACAAGTATAGACGTTGCCATGCCATCAAAGCACAAATCACCCCACCCTTCTGGGTTCAGCTGACATCTGCATCCTGAACTGGGAAGATTCAGGAACAAGATCACTGTCACCTCCTCTCTAATAATGACCCGTGAAGGGTGTGAGATTTTAAAGCAGAGTTCTAAAGGAAATTTCAAGGATTCTCAATTCCACAAGGAGATCTGACGCATCAAGACGAATACTTACATTCCACATACCCTCAACACTTCTAAACCTGGGCCATGTTAAAAATGAAAAGAAGAATTTAGTCTTTAAGAGGGAGACAGCCCTAGATCTCTAAACATCAGGACTAATCGTGGACCAGGATGTCTGAAGACACTGCTACTAGAAGAGACATTCTAAGCATAGTATCAATTGGGTGTCATTAGCAAATTTCTTTAAGTTCTGTACTGTTCCTCCTCCTTTCTTTAGACTTGAATACCACAGGCAGTGATTCAGTGTTATGGTAAATTAATATGCAATTTTTAATCTAGGACAAACCAATGCTAACTTCAGCAGTAACTACCAAGTTACAGGTAGACTGCTATGCCTTGCAGGGTTGATCAACCCAAGTTTTCTCCTTAACAGCATCTATTACTGTTTGGCATATATTGCCCTTGGCACCTGTTTCCTCCACTACGATTTCAATGTTCATCTATTGCATTTTTGTCCTACACTTCCTCAAAGCCGCACAAGTCAGCATATGTGGCTCGCCTCATTTTATCCTCAACAGCCCTGTGAAGTCTCTTAGGTCTACAGAATGGCTGGGCCAAGGTCACTCAGCAAGCATCACGGCAGCATGAGAATTTGAACCCAGTCCCCCTGACCCTTACCTAGCATTCTAACCACTACAGCACACTTTTGCACATGACACCAATACCAGAGAATCAAGGATAACCTGGCTATACAGTTTTGACCCAGAGAACACAGTTAATGGATGCCTACTCCAGGACTAACTACATTACCATTTTAGTGCACAAGGTGTTCAAAGTATTTTCAACAGAAATTCAGAATGAAGAGCATGCACAAAGCCATCAGAATTATTACATACAAATATTGCCCACACATACACAAACAAAATTTGAAAAATGGAAGTGTGGGTCACTCTCTTTAAACTCAAAAGCACATTCTTTTTTTGCTACCAAATTTTGATTAAAAAAAAACTTGGTAGGACCACCAGGGGCCAGATAAAAATGTACTGGAGTCTTTTCCAGGTAGTAGTGTACCACTGAGCCCTCTGCCCTAAGACATTCTGCATCCGTAGTGTTGGCGATCGTCTCTGAGAGCTCACATGCTTTTGTGACCCAACAAGAAGTGGCAATGCCTTAAACATGTGTAGTGGATCGCCGCTTCCTTATTAAGGAGTATCTTTGTTTTCCATTATGTATGCAGCACATTCAGCCTTTAACCTTTAAACATTCAGTCAAGCCATTATACAAAGTTCAGCCTTATAGGCAGGGGTCACATGGTCTAGGGCAGGTGCACAGATCTCACCTTCTTCAGAGCACTGTCCATGGTCTCAGGGCGGCTGACATCAAAGCACAGCAGGACAGCATCCGAGTCACTGTAACACAGAGGGCGTACATTGTCATAGTAGGGAGATCCTGTAGGAAAAGGGGATAGGAAAGTTACACAGCTGCTCAAAGCCCTCACCCCTTGGCCAAAAGAATCAACGAAAGTAAAAAACTTCCAATAAGAGCGGGATAGAACAATGCTTTTTAAAGATGAACCAGACTCTTCTCTGCTTATCTACTACCAAAAGAATAGCAAAAATAAGGCGGTCAAGAGTTTCCTGAAGCCACCCCCAGTCGCTTTCATGCACGGCTCTCCTCATCCACCCCCCACCCACCCCTTCAGCATTCAGTCTGCTCTGAAGAGAGGAAACAGCTTTGCCAGGGTTATATAAATCAAAGCCATCTTCTTCTCCCCTCTTCATTCCCCACAAAGCAGTATTGAGGGCAGGAGGAGTACAATGCCCCCAGTATCTAGGGAGAGGAAGGGAAATCTAACAGACAGGGAGGAATGGGGGTTGCTTAGCAACATCTCTCTCAGCAGTGAGTAGAGAAAAAGGGGTTGCAGATGTGCAAGGGATGACATGCTTGCAAAATGGGAGGGGGGAATTGCCCAGAGTTGGGGGGTGTTACTGCATAGGTGCAGGGGGAAGAAGAGGCAATTGGATCCCAGGGAGGGGGGGGCTGTGAGAAACAGCAGCAACCAAAAATGCTTCTGCAGTCCAGACACTGCGTGCGTAGAATAGCAAGCAGCCCCTGCCTCCCTGCACCAGCACAATCACCATGGCAACAAAGGGGATCCAAGTAGCCAGGGACCCCCACCTCTGGCCCCTTTTAAAAGAGGGGATGCAGAAGCAACAGGAGCTTCCATTGCCTGCCCCAGTCAATCCCAGTTGCTAGGGTAACTGCTTTGTACCCCTCCACACACACACAATACCTTCAAGAGCCTTTTATTGTGAGGGGCTTGTTTCCCCAATCCTCCTCCCCCACCCCCAATTTCTCCAGCAAAGTCCATTGAGCCCCGCTCCGTTCCTGCCCAATACACGCACAATGGGCAAGTCCCTCCCCCCTTTGCATTCCAAAGAAGAAATGAAGGAATGGAGCAAAAACTAAACCAAGGAAAAGCATGCACCTTTCACAACCTTCAAGATCCCCACAATCCTGAAGGGAAGGTTTGTTTTTTATAAGAGCGTTTTAAAAAAAAATTACTTTAGCCCTCAGGTATTCATTCTGACTCAGGTTGGGGGACAGCATCTATGGATCCAATAAAGGAACATCAGCAGCACAGCATCTCTTTACAGATATTCTAACCTTAAAGCCAAAGTAGGCAATTTTAGGGGAAGTCTCCCGGGACTGTTTCCATTTGGCCAAAATGCCAACTTTTAAGGTCTAAAGTCTCTGTTCTGCCTGCAATCTGCAGATTTCCCCCCCCCCCCACTCTCTTAGGAGGAGGCATTGGCTATGCATACCAATTGTTTGATGTCCCCATTTCCAGTCTCAGAGCTCAGGACTGCACTGCATCGTGCAAGTATCATCTGAAAGACCAAGGAAATACACACCCACTCATCTCCATCCAAACCATCTATTCTGGCTAGCCAAGCCTTCTCCTGCACCTTATGACAGCCAAGGTGGGTGCAGAGGAATTTAATTTACACCCATCTGCAGCACCTTCTCCTGTACCCAAAGCTAAGATGTGTCAAGAAGAGAGAAGAACAAAACAAGCACTGATTATAGCTGCTGTTATCAAGATGCCCTCTCCCTTCCCAACACAAACCCGGAGCCACTGAGGAATGTGTATTTCATCATCCACAGCCACAGACTCTCAGTACCGATGCACCCCTTCTACAAGTTATACTATCCAGGCAGCTTCACTGCAGCACAACCGGCAGGTGTAGGCCTGGCCAACCACGTCCAAAAGGAGAAAGATGTCTCACCAGATGTATCCCATAGACTGAGCTCCACCCGCTGCTCCTCTGTCTCTAAGCACGCCGTGTAGTTCTCAAAAACGGTGGGGACATATGTCTGCAATGAAGAAAAAGACAGCCCGGGGGTCATGAGCCAGAACTTCTAAAATTGTGTGACCTACTTTAGGGAGGAAGTGAAGGCATCAAAAGGAAGAGAAGGACCTACTCTCCGCCTCCCCATCGCCAAGATCTGATGAGGGGTCACAGTGTGGCAAGGCTCAGAGCCACCCCATCAACACAACCTGAAGAGGCCACCAGGAGTTGATCGACCAAGGCACTCTGGTGCACAGCTCTGCGCATCAAGTCCATGCCACAGAACGGGAGAAGCCATATTGACTCTTGAGCAGAACCAAGAGATTAAAAAGAGATTAGGCACAGTCTACCCACTCCCCCTGCTAGCCCTCTCATGCACAGATCGCTCTGGGGGAAAGGGCAGAGAGAACAGAAAAAGGCAGGGTGGTGGGGCAGGCCAGAGATCGAGCTGGGGAACAGTCCCAGAGAAACCTGAAGAGGCAGAATACTGTTAAAAAAAAATAAGTAAGCCTCCGCTTGCTCAGGAGACCCTCCCCAGCCCCTGCTCCGATCTTTCCGATGGAACAGTAACATTAATAAGCAGTTCTACTTTAAGAAGCTGGTCAGAGGCATTTTCTGTTTAAGCCAGCAGACTCCGGGGGTAAAGCTCCCCCCATTACCTTCCGCATCGGAGGGCACAGATCCAGAGGCGCTTCCTTTCAGATTCAACTCCACTCACCTCCGGGTAGCAGTCTTTAGCCAACACTTGCAACATGGCAGTCTTCCCACAGTGTACATCCCCTACAAGAACCAGTTTGCATCTCGCCACTGCGGGCTGAAGAGCTCTCCTCTCCCTCATAGCGGCTTCGTTCGGCGTCTCCTGCTGCACCACTTACGGAGATGCTGCAGCAAGACCCAAAATAGTCCTCACGAGACACGCTCTCTTTCGCAGGCTAAAACGAGCCGCGGGCTTCGGGAGGGGGGAGGTAGTGAAAGCTGTTCTTATAGATAATTTGAGAAGCCAATGGAAGGCGGAGGAGGGACTTCGTGCCACCAATCGGAGAAGTCGGACTCTGGCTTGATGACCGGCGACGGAGCCGGCTGCCTGAGTCAGAGGTCTCCCCCCCCCCTCCCCCGCGCCGCGCTTTTAAAGATACATTCCGACGCCTGGGAAAGGACTTCTCACTTTTTTTTGCGCAGATGAAGCCGGAGGGGAGGGATGGGCGGGAAGCGCCGTCATGATGCTCAACTGTAAATCAATTAAGGAGGCCCGCCTGTGTTTGCTTTTCCACGTAGCACAGAGCCTTAGAACGGAAGGTTAAAGCCTTCAAGGAACCTCGTTGCTTCAGTTGAGTCATTCGACTCGAGGACTTAAGTTTGTTGAGCCGATGACCAAGGAAAGCGGGCAGCGTTCTACCCAAGAGCCTGTCTCTTCGAAGGAATGGGCCCCCCCGGGGGGGGGGTGTCTGTCTGTCTGCTGACAGGACGAAAGGGTCAAATGTGCATAAACGCAGAAGTCAGAACATCGCATTTTTTTTTTCTTTTGACGTCGATTTTTAGAAATGTAAATTCTACAGTCTTTTTTCCCCCTAGATTGGGGAAATTTCCTTGTGCGGGGGAGCTCCTACTTGTGTGTCAGTGGTCTAATTTTGGTGACAGAGTTTCTTGGGGGGGGGAGAAGTTTCAAGCAGTATCATTCCCGCCCCCCAAAACACTAGATGTTCCCAGGAAGTACGTTTCTTTTCAGAAGAAGGAAAAAAGTTTTTTTATTAGATTTGTAGGTACAAGTGTAACAAGTGGATTAATGACATTTGAGGGGTTGATTCCCATTCCCGCCCCCAAAACCCCCCCCCCCCGTGGTCCATTCATTTTTTCTTCTAAATTTTCAAAATTTTGACTAATATATACAAAAGTTCATGTTAGCTCAAAGACAAATTGGCCACGGGAAGCAGTGCCCTCTGCAGGAAACACGGATGAAACAGAATGACATCGAGTAACCCTACATTCTGTCCCTAGAATCTAGTCTAGGCATGCCCATTTGGTTGGTGTGGTTAAGGATATACAGGTATATGTGGGTAAAGTATGGGCAGCGGGGGGGGGGGGGGGGAAAAAACTGGATTTCCTCTACTGAACCCGTTTTTTTTTTTTTGTGTTCTTTTTTTTTTGGTAAACAAATTTTTATTTTCTTAGGAACATAACATATAAGATTAAATCATTCAGTCCATTGTTTACCTCATTCCCTTCCTCCCCTCCCTCCAGTGGCTTCCCGCAATGCTTCTCCCCCTTCTTACAAATTTCATTATATCATTAACACATCATTTGTTATCATCCAACCTCAAGATAACATCATTTGACTTAATATTGATCTAAACATATTAAGTTTTGTTTTACATCCCAGTTCTTTTCCAGATATATTTTAAAGTCATTCCATTCTTGAAAAAACACGTTGTCTTCTTGATTATTCAACTTCTTTGTAATTTTATCCATTTCTGCCATGAACAGAACTTTTTGTATCCAGTCTTCGATTTCTGGTACTTTCTCAGTCTTCCAAAATTGTGCATAAATCATCCTCGCTGTTGTAATAAGGTACCAGAATAAAGTCCTTTTAGTCGAGTTAACTTCTTCCATTTTTAGTCCCAAAAGCAGAATTTCAGGCGCTTTCTTGAAAGAGCACTTAAGTATTTTTTGCATTTCTTTGTGGACTTTTGCCCAAAAGAGTGTAGCTTTTTCACAAGTCCACCACATATGGTAAAATGAGCCCTCATGTTTTTTACATTTCCAACATTTATTTGACATATTCTGGTTCATATTTGCAATTTTCTTTGGGGTCATATACCACCTATACATCATTTTATAACAATTCTCTCTAACATTGGTACAGGGTGATATCTTAATAGCATTTTTCCACAAATATTCCCAGGTTTCTATGTCAATTTCCTTGTTCATATTTATTGCCCATTTTAACATTTGCTCTTTCACAGTCTCATCTTCTGTATACCATTTTAACAACACTTTATACATTTTAGAGATATCTTTTCCCCCTCCACTCTCCCATACCTTTTCCATTTCATTTTTTTCCTCTCTAAAACCATAATTTCTTTTGTCTGACCTAAAAAGGTCAGAGATCTGCATGTATTTCAACCATTCATATTCATATTCAATTTCATTCTGCTTTTTCATTACCCATTCTGTTCCCTCTTTTTTTATTATGTCTTTATACAGCAACCAATCTTTGTCTCTACGTCTTGAGTAAGATGTTAACACTTCCACTGGTACAATCCAAAGTGGCCTTACATCACCAAAATATTTTTTATATCTCATCCATACCACAAATAATGCTTTTCTTACCACATGATGCTTAAAAAAGCTATCCATTTTTGTTTTGTCATACCATAAATATGCATGCCAACCAAATCTACAATCATGACCTTCTAACCCCAATAGCTTATCATTTTCTAATTTCACCCATTGCTTCAACCAGGTCATACAAACCGCTTCATAATATAATCTGAGATTTGGTAGCTGTAGTCCACCTCTGTCCTTGGCATCACAAAGTATTTTCATCTTAATTCTCGGTTTCTTGCCTGCCCAAACAAACTTTGATAGTTCTTGTTGCCACCTTTGCAGCAAATCTGTCTTACTAAGTATTGGTATTGTTTGGAACAGGAACATCAAACGTGGTAGGACATTCATTTTTATAACTGAAATTCTTCCCATCAGTGACAAGTTCATTTTGTCCCATTTCTTAAAGTCTTGGGTTAACTTAGCCCATAGTTTTTCATAATTGTTCTTATATAAGTCTATATTCTTTGCAGTTAACTCAATGCCTAAGTATTTCGTCTTCTTTACCACTTCACATTGTACCAAATTTTGTAGTTCCACTTGTTTTTGTTTCGTCATATTTTTGCAAATAAGCTTCGTTTTATTCTTGTTTACATAAAATCCTGCCAATTCTCCAAAATCTTTTATTTTTTGAAATAGTAACGGTAACTCTTCCGTCGGGTTTTCCACAATAAACATTACGTCATCTGCAAAAGCACGGTATTTATATTTAAAACCTTTATGTGTCAAACCCTTAATCTCTTGATCTTGTTGTATTTTTTGTAAAAGTACCTCCAACACCCAAATGAACAATAGCGGTGACAAGGGACAACCCTGCCGAGTACCTTTCTGTACCTTGAAGCTATCGGTCAATTCTTTATTTACATTCAGTGTAGCTCTTTGTTCCGAATAGATAGCTTCAATACAATTTCTGAACTGTTGTCCCGTATCAATTTTTTCCATCATCTGTAACATAAACTTCCAATTAAGATTGTCAAATGCTTTTTCCGCATCCACAAACAAAAAAGTTACCTCTTTTTCAGGGTGCTTTTCATAGTATTCCACTGCGTCCATTACTATTCTTACATTATCTCGAATTTGTCTTTTTGGCAGAAAGCCCGCTTGATCTTCTGAAATCACTGTTTGTAAGTAGTTTTTCACTCTTTCTGCAATAATTTTTGCAAAGATCTTATAGTCATTATTTAGGAGAGAAATTGGCCTGTAGTTCTTTACATTCGTTAGTTCTTGGCCTTCCTTTGGTATCAATGAAATGATTGCCTCTTTCCATGAGTCTGGCACTTTCTTGCACATCCGTATGTCGTTGGATAAAGCTTCCAGGGCCGGGACAAGTTCCTCTTTCATTTTTTTATAAAACTTCGCGGTAAATCCGTCCGGCCCTGGCGCCTTCCCCAACTTCGCTTCTTCAATTGCCTTCCTCACTTCCTCTGTTTGGATTGGCCCATTTAGTAAATCTTTAAACTCTTTGCTTATTTTGGATAGTGGAATCTCTTCTAAATATCTTTCAATCTTCTCAAGATCAATTCTATTTGCTTGAAACAATTTAGCATAATACTTGAAGAAACTTCTCTTTATACCATTAGGGTCAACGAATTCTTTTCCTTCTTCTATAATTTTGGTTATCATTCTTCTTTCTTTTCTTGCTTTGAGTTGCCAAGCTAGATATTTCCCCGGTTTATTCGCCCCTTCAAAAGATTTCTGTTGTAACTTCTTTAAATTCCAATAAAGCTCTTGGTTCAAAAAATCATTCAGCTGTTCTTTCAGCAACTGTAGTTCTCTAATAATCTTCTTTTTCCCCGGTTTCTTCTTCAGTTCTTTTTCTTTTTGGGCTATTTGTTCCAATACTTCCACTTGCCTTTGAAGTTTTTCCTTCTTTTGCTTCACATTTTGTGAGATGAGAATCCCTCTCATCACAGCTTTGTAAGCGTCCCACACTACCTGTATTGAAGTCTCTTTATTCAGATTTTGTTGGAAATATTGTTTTGTTTCTTCTTTTAACATTTCCATAACACCTTTTTTATCCAACAAATCTTCATTTATTCTCCAAAGAAAGGATTTATTCCTTTCAGTAGAGGTCCACAAAACAGGGTTGTGATCCGAGTTACATCTAGGCAGGATTTCTATTTTTTGTGTTTTCATTGACAATTCTTCTGACATCCAAATCATATCAATTCTGGAAAAAGAGCAATGTCTATTGGAATAAAAAGTAAAATCTTTCTGCGTTGGGTTCCATTTCCTCCACACATCTTCTAGTTTTTCCTGTTTGACTAGTTCAAAAAAGTTCTTTGGCAATTTTCCACTAATTTCGTTGCCTTTTTGTGATTGTCTATCCAGCCGATCTATAGTTCCATTAAAGTCTCCGGCCAAAATAACTTGATCATAAGTTTGTCCTTGTAGGTGTTCAGTTAAGTCCTTAAAGAACTTTTCTTTTGCTCCATTGGGTGCGTATATATTGACCACCAGTGTCTTTTTCTGTTGAATCATCACTTCCACACCCACATATCTTCCTTCCAAATCTTTGAAAATTTCTTTAGGTTGTAAATCCTTTTTCACATATATCACCACACCTTTTTTCTTATTTAAGGCCGAGGAATAAAATTCTAATC